TGGAGCTTCCACCCTCTCCCACCGAGCACTCCAGCACCGTACAATGACTCCGCCGTGTACGGCCGCACCAACGCTTGGGGATTCATGGAGGTGGTTGACTCCACCTTTTCCGCCGTGCCCAAAGGCAGTTTTCTGTTCGGCTACCTCCCCATTGGCACGTTGGCCCAGGACGTCCAGTTCGAAGTCGGCTCGACGCCCGGCCAGGTGGTGGCCACGAGCCCTCACCGACGGGAGCTGATGACCATCTACAATCACTACACCGTCACCGGACCCGAGACGGGATCGGCATTGGCAGCGAAGACGCCAGAGGCAGGACTGGACCTGGTCCTCCGAATCATGACGGAGACGGCCTTCCTCCTCAACAAGTTCGTCTTTGCGGGAAATCCCCAGCAGACGGTGAAGCCTTCAGCCCAGCCCATGAACTGGACCGGCGACAGGGCCGACCTCACTGACGCGACGCTCATATTCCTGGCGCCAGGGTCCAAGGTGGCGCTGGTCCTCGCCCAGCTCGTCAAGAATGACCGGTCGGGGTCAAAGCCCAAGCGAGTAATCGGTGCCGCGAGTGAGTATTCCAAGGCCTTTGTGGAAGCGACTGGAAAATACGATGCCGTGGTGTCCACGAGCGAGTCACCGGCAGAATTCCTGCCAAAGCTGGGGGTTGACCCCGCCGAGAAGGTGATCCTCGTCGACTTTGGCGGCAGGGCAGGCTTGGGGCAGAAGTGGACGTCGGTGATCGCCCCGGCCTACAAGAACTTTTTACTGTTCTTGGTTGGTTCTGAACTTTCTGAGGTGTCGCAGGCCAATGCGGCCAAGGCCTTGGCCGCCCAGAAGCCCGACTTTGCGATCCTGGTCAACGCCTCCGACATGAGAGAGGAGGCGATCAAGAAGGTGGGCGAGGCGGAGTACCTGGCTGGCCTTAGCAATGCAGTGAAATCTGTTCTGTCGGCGGGGATCAATGGCCTCAAGGTGACATGGGGCGAGGGTATGGAGGATGCAGCTAAAGGCTGGGACCGTCTGGCCAAGGGTGAGGTTGGCGCCGATGAAGGCTTGGCTTTTCTTGTCTAGATGACATATTATAGACTGAAACGAAAAGAAGTGGGTAGTAACATGTCATGTTAAGAGATATCTGACGAAATTAGGACTTTTGATAGACTTCTCTCATACACAAATGGTTTTAACGATACGTGTACGTTGATCGACGCTCAATGTTTACTCGGCCGGACGTGATCTCGGCTGCTAGTATAGCCGTAAGAGGATGTTCAGAAACCCCCGTGACTCACATAGGAACTTAGGGCAATTAAGCAGGGATGGGGACTCTAAAGGACCTTAAAACATGTTATACAAGAATATTAACGAACAAAGAAATCAGGTTGGTTGCCTGATGTACGAAAATCTGAACCTTGTTGCACCATGCTTGGCCGGTGACTCACCACCCCGGAGATCATGCAGGAGGCAACAACTCGATGAGGATTTAAGCGTCGAAAGCGGGACCTCCTCTGGCGATTTTTCAATAAGACAATTCAAACACAGGAAGTTTCTTTTCCCTATCCACAGCCCTCGCCAAGCTCACTACAATGGCCGACGAGCAGGCTCCCGAGTGCGGCTGCTACATCATCTTCGATGAGGACACCACCAACGATAAGATCGCCTTCATTCCTCTGACCAGCGTCGAAGCTCACACCACCATTCAGGCCACCGCCTCCCAGACCCGCCTCACCCAGTATTATATCAATCCGAACGCTGACAAGCCGCTGGATGAGCTCAACTACGTCTTCCCGCTCTATGACGGCGTCTCTGTCGTATCCTTTGTTTGCACCATAGGTGACCGTGTAATCCGCGGCGTCGTCAAGGAGCGACAAGAAGCACAGGCTACATATGATAAGGCTGTCAAGTCTGGCAAGGTCGCCGGCTTACTCCAAAAGTCCTCAGCAGCTTCTGATGTATTCTCCACAACCATTGGAAATGTTCCCGCGGGCGCAGAGGTCAAAGTCGAGATCACGTACCTCGCAGAGCTGAAGCACGATGCCGAATTTGATGGCATCCGGTTCACTCTTCCAACGCATATCGCGCCTCGATACGGTCCAGGATTCTCCCTCAAGGACTCAAACGTGGTGACGCAGGGATCCATCTCCATCACCGTGGACGCGGACATGCCAGATGGATGCTCAATCACTTCCGTCCAGTCGCCCTCGCACCCCATCTCCATCCAGATCGGCCGCTGCTCAACCTCGGCCGAGACAGCCGAGCCGTCTCTCCAGAAGGCTTCAGCCTCGCTCGCCCTCGGGTCCGCCTCGCTCGAGAAGGACTTCATCCTCCACATCGTGGCCCCCAAGATCAAGGAGCCGTCTGCCGTCCTCGAGACGCACCCGACCCTACCCAACCAGCAAGCCATCATGGCAACCCTCGTCCCGCAGTTCAAGATCCCCTCCGAGACGCCCGAAATGGTCTTCCTTTGTGACCGGAGCGGCAGCATGTACTGGGGCCAGAACCAGAAGATGCCCAATCTCCAAAACGCCCTCAACATCTTCCTCCGCTCCCTGCCCGTCGGCGTCAAGTTCAACATCTGCTGCTTCGGCACTCGGTACGACTTCTTGTGGCCCGAGTCCCGTGCCTACGAAGAGGCGAGCTTGGAGGAAGCCTTCAAGCATGTGGGCACCTTCAACGAGACTGACTACGGTGGGACCGAGATGTGCGACCCTTTGGAAGAGGTGTTCCGGAGACGGCAGAAGAACATGAACCTCGAGGTCTTACTTCTGACTGATGGTGACATTTCAAATCAGAATGCGCTGTTTAAGCTCATCAACGAGAATATGGAGGAGGCGAAGGGAGGGATCCGCCTGTTCACTCTTGGAATCGGTGATGATGCCAGCCACGCTCTGATAGAGGGAGCTGCACGTGCAGGCAACGGATTCGCGCAGACGGTCGGGTCTGAGGAAAAGATGAATCACAAGGTGGTGCGCATGCTGAAGGGGGCGTTGACTCCCCATATCTACGACTATTCCCTGGAAGTCAAGTATGAACGCACCGCGTCGGATGTCGACGACGATGATTTTGTGTTGGTCGAGAAGACGTTGGATTCTCTCGCTATTGAAGCCACCGTGGTCGAAGACAAGAGTGAGTCGGAGTCGGTGCAAAAGACAATCCCGATTTACGATGCTTCTCATAACGACGACGACGACATGGGATTCGACGACAAGCCGAAGGAGGAGCGACGGGATCCAATCCTGGAGATTTCTACGCCCAAGTATCTGCAGACGCCGTGTCCCGTTCCAGCTCTGTTTCCCTTCAATCGCACAACCGTATATGTCTTGATCTCTGACCAATCTCCGTCCCTCGTCGCCAAGTCGGTACTTCTAAAGGGCATCACGTCAGTAAATTCAAACGGGACTGTCGAGCGCGTTGCTCTAGAACAGGAGATTCCCATCACAGCGCTACCAGGACAAGGCACCACGATCCACCAGCTCGCGGCCCAGAAGGAGGTCACAGAGCTGGATGAAGGAAGAGGATGGCTCTCGCTAGCCAAGGATGCTGAGACGGGAACCCTCATCAAAGATAAGTTCCCCGCCGCCCAGGTTCAAGACATGAGGAAGAGAGAGGCCGTCCGGCTCTGCCTGCGATACCAAGTCGCCGGCGTGCACTGCTCCATGGTGGCTGTTGACGAGAGCCAAGAGACTGAGGATAACACACAACGTGACATGATAGATCGCAGATGGGGATTGGATGATGATGACGACGATTCGGATGAGGATATGGGATTTGGCCTGTTCGATGGCGGCACCCCCCCGCAATGGCCGTCGCAGGCGAGATTCCTATGTCTCGAAGCCGAATGCGAGGAGGAAGACGAAGATTCAGATGAAGAAATGGGATTCGGCCTGTTCGATGACGGTCCTCCCCTGCAACCAGCACCGCAGGCAGTTGTGACGGAGGAGAAAGACGGAGAAGGGTCAAAGGGGCCGAAAGCTTCCGAGAACAGAGACGCGCTGCAAGCCATTGCCGCTCTGCAGAAGTTCACAGGTTGTTGGGAGTGGGACAAGGCAGGGTCGCTCGAGAGGCTGCTCGGAGTCACGAAGGACGACATATTGATGAAGGCCGAGGGGGCCGGCCTCGACAAGAGCAAGGATGCGGTGCTCGCTACCTTGTGCGCGCTTGTGTTCTTGGAGACCAAGCTGGCAGAGGAGGAGGATGCGTGGGAGTTGATGGCGGACAAGGCCCAGGGCTGGGCCGCGGAGCAGCTTTGTAGAATGGCCGAATACGAGAGATGGAAGGCAGTGGTACGGGCGCTGCTATGATCTCTTTGCTGTCTGTAGTCACTGCTGAATTGGCTTTCGTTTCCGAGATAATACCAAGTAGGTGGCATTGAAATCGAGACACTCAAACATTAGGCTGTCTATTGTCGAGCCTGCGACTGATATTGTTGAATTATTGAGTACTAATAATATGCACTTGACAGAACCTTAGGAAAGAGTGGTTGTAAATCGATTACTTCTGCAATGAATAAAGAAATTCAGTATCATAAAACGAATAAAAGTGACAATGTCTACCGTATTATCTCCTGTCACCCACTTGAATACTTATGAAATGGAGGAATGTCAAGAGGCCATGATGAGAGATGAAGCACGTCATTCGCCCATCAGTGGCGAGGGTACGTACAGTGCCTCGCATAAAGTTTGAAGGCAATATACGACGCGTGTGGCCAGATCTCAATCACCCGACGATGGGATAATATTAAATCATATTATCACGAGAGACGCTGTGCAATTTGATATATCGTAGATTGAGAAAAGTAGCTGTACCAGTGAGGGTATCCAATTTCGCAGCCCAGAACCGACCACATTAAAACAAAAATAAACATAATTCGTGGCTTCATCGTGTTGAACATGAACATCCTGGCCCGCCAAGATAAGAAATAATATACCAATAAATAACCCCCGTCGATGGATGCCCAATAACCGAGCTTAACAACCCGATGCGTGCCACGTAGAGACGTACGCCAGCTACAATCAGCGGATGCGTCGCCCTCGACGTCGGAAGCTGCGTTCCGTGTACACCAACCTGCGCATACGCTTCGCATAAAGCAGTCCGCAGACATTGCACAGCGTGCCTGGCCCATCCGGACCCTTCCGCCATCTGGGCGTCGTTTCAGCTCTGCAGTCGTGGCACATGACCTGCAGCCGCAGCGGCAAAGGCTCTTCGGCGTCCTCGTCCTCGTCCATGTTGTTGTCTTCCTCGTCCATGTTGTTGTCTTCCTCGTCCATGTTGTTGTCTTCCTCGTCCGGGTTCGGCGGCGCTGGGGATTGATTGGGAGGAAGGGGCGGCGCGACGGAGGATGGGTAGTGGCTTCGGTGCGACGTGGTGCTAAAGACGGTGAGCTTGTTGTGCTTCGACGACCCCGCGTAATGCAGCCTCCGCCTCAATCTGCTTCGGCTTCGGTGTTCGGCCCTGTCGCCCCTGCCGTCCGCCATGAACATGATGCGGGCGAGGTTATGCCCGATGGTATTCGATATCTCGGTCATGGCTTCGAGTTCGCTCTCGTCGAGAAGGGCAAGTATTTGCTCGGCGGTCAAGGGCGTGAATGCGTCTCGGCCCGTGACAGAGCCGACGGTCCGGTCTCCTCTGCCGCTCGTACAGTGCAGAAGATCCTTGGCACCTCTTCGTATCTGTAGTTGAAGGATTGTTAGATGTTGACTAGATTGCATTGAAGGAGTTCTGAGGGCGATGGCATACCAGCCCAAAGAGTTCGTTGAACGCCTTCTGGTTCAGAGTTTGCCTCGCATTTTCGCGGGTTGTCTCGGGTGTTTTGTCGTAGACCGGGATCGATAGAGAAGGAGGGGCAGAGGGAAGAGAAGATTCGAAATGCGGGACGACGGCTGGGTTTGGCAGCGTTTCCATGCCTACCGTGATATGGTCTGCGGTTTTCGGTGTTGAAGTGAGGAAGGACTGGCACCGCTTGTGGCGGTTAAGACAACGATTGAAGAGAGAGAATGGGAAAATGGAATTCCCACTGCCGGTCCGAGAGCACAACTCGGTTCTATATATGGCAATTGCACAAGCAAAAGCAAAACGGTGAGCGCCGATCAATGCCTGAAGTGCGCACGTAATGTGACTACCGGAGGCGAAATGGCTTGGCCAGCCCGTAGAATTTGGAACATGGCCGTAGGCGGGGGAAGGACCCTGGATTTATTAATTAACGCTCGACCAACCACAAAGGCTGAAAAGGTTCGGGGCTGAACAGGGGTCCAGATACAGCTCTCCAGTTCCGAGGGGCACCCTGAGTCACCGTGTGGCAAGACTCCCAAACTCTATCCATCCGTCAGGTTTGACAGGTGGCTGTGGTGTAGCTCTGGAGTCCGGGGGCATTGAAATGGAGGGGCTTGTCGTGGTGCAAGAAGCGGGAATTGCATTATGAATACATTAGGCGTAGGTAGATATTCATACAGACAGGCTATGCTATCCGAGAACTTGTGCCCGGCGAAGCTGCGAAAGTCGCAGCGTGCAAGGAAATTGGTGTGACATTCCAGCCCGCGCATCCAGTGTGAAGCTTCCACTCTGGTCGCTATGCTTCGACTGGCTCCTGAGGGATTGCTTGATAGTCATTTGTTGCTTCCTCAGTGATGTTGCCATTAACATGCGCCGGATTGTCTGGGTGACATAGCCACTTCAACAGCTTCTGCATCAGAAGTTGCCTGTTCACCGGCTTAGCTATATAGTCGTCCACCCCCTTCTCTAGACAGAACTCTCTGTCGCCCTTCAGCGCGTAGGCAGTCATCGCGATGATGGGTACGCGGGAACCAGAGCTCCTGATCCATACAGTTGCCTCGTACCCGTTCATGACAGGCATGCTGATATCCATGAAGATCAAATCAAACACGTGGCCCTCGGAGACCAGTATCGACACTGCTTGCGACCCATCGCCGGCAACTGTGATGTCCTCGAACCCAAATCCATGCAGCATGCCCACCAGGACCTTTTGATTGATAATGTTATCCTCCACTGCCAATATGCGCTTTGTCCTCGCGATTCCTCTAAGCAGATTCAGCTGTGCTGCGGCGTCTGTGCCTTGGCTCTTTGATAGCGACCGCGACGGCTCGTCCGTCCCTTGCTCAGGATCTGTGCGGGTTGTTTTTGGGGACTTGACCTTGTCAAGTTTGACGGAAAACCAGAAGATACTTCCTCCGCCTTCCGGGTTATGTTGATAGCCGATGTCACCGCCGAGCAATTCGCAGAGGGACTTGCTGATGGACAGTCCCAAGCCCGTGCCTTGTCGGCGCTTCTGATACGTTGTATCGAGTTGTGTGAATGGCTCAAAGAGCTTTGCGGCGGCATCCTCGGGCACCCCATGACCAGTGTCAATGACCTTGGTCAAGAGCGTGTGTGTCGTCTCGTCTTCGGCCGAAACTGAGACCTGCACGGTGATAGATCCCTTCTCGGTAAATTTCCCAGCATTTCCAATAATGTTCTCGGCGATTTGGCGATACCTAATCGGATCGCCCATTGCTTTGGGCAAACCTGGTGCTAAGTCGAGGTGCATCGACACTCCCGGCTGCAACGTGGTCCTCACGCTCCGCGTCACCGAGGTGATGATCCCGGCGATATCGACCACGTCGCTCTGGACGGAAAATCGACCTGCCGCCAACTTGGAATAGTCTAGAATATCATTAATAACCTGTAAGAGAACGCGCCCCGACTCGTCGATGAGGTTCGCCGTTTCTCGCTGTTCCTCCGACAGCTCGGTGTCCAGAAGAAGGCTGCAGGCGGACAGCATGCCGTGCATCGGTGTTCGGATCTCGTGGCTAATGTTGGCCAGGAAGTCATTCTTCAATCTGCTGCTCTCCTCGTAGGCGGCCACCAGTCGCAACTCGTTCTCTTTCCGCTCGTTGAGATTCCGTGTGACTTTGCCGAATCCAACGTGGATGTCGTTCTTGTAAATTGCCGTGATGACGACGTTGGCCCAGAACCTACTTCCATCCTTGCGGTAGCGCCACCCTTCATCTTCGACCCGACCTTCTCTTAGACATCTCTCCAGTGCCCCGTCAGGTTTCCCGCGTTGCAGATCCTCCTCGCTGTAGAACACTGAGAAGTGTTTGCCGATGATTTCCTCCTTCGTGTAGCCCTTGTTAAGCTCTGCGCCCGTGTTCCATGTCACGACATTCCCGCGCGTGTCTAGCAGAAAGATGGCATAATCTTTCACGGCATGGATAAGGATACGGAAGGCGTCGTCGATGGGCAGCCAGCTCTGACTCATGCCGCCATCGGGGACGGCAACGTGAAGCTCGGCCTTCTCCCACTGCAGCAACAGGCACAACAAGTCCTCCTCCTTGTGGACGGGCGTGATACGGGCTGTCCAGTGCTCATCTCCCGACACGTAGGCAGCATGGCAGAGACGGAGGGCCTTGGTGGCGACGGCGGTCTCGATGGCATAAGCCAGCGGAATGCGGTCGAAGCGTGCGGTCTTTGAACCCTGGTACAGCGCGACAAAGAGATCTTTGTCGACCAGGTCCTCGCGAGTGCGATCCCACGCCTGGAGCAGCCCGCTCGAGGCTCTCTGAATGCAATACGAGTCGCCGAGGGGCTGCACCACCAACGTAGGGACCGGCAGCAAGTCGAGAATCTCACTCATCCTGGCGGCACGGGAGGAGCCGCAGCGCAACGGTAATTAGCGCGCGTTGCGGTGGTGGGTTGGAGGGTCGAAAAAATGCCAGGCAAGGCAGCAGTCTGGGAACTGGGTTGGGCAGCGACCGGCTGAGCTGGACTCTGGAGGCACCACGCACTCCTCTGGGGGCTCAGGGCAGAAAGTCACAGGCCATATCGGGAGTTGTCAAGTCGAGGGGCAAGAGGAGAAGCGTGGAAATTTGATCGTGTGGCAGACGCCCGTGTGGCAGAGGCTGCGTTACCCCCTCCCAGCTATCGAACGCCATGGGCATCCAGCCAGCGACCAAGTACCACCACTCAGACCGCTATTGACCAGCCTTTCTCTTCTCAGACTGGCGCGTGACGTCAGTGTGGCTTAATGGTTACTCAGTGGCTGATGCTTTGCTCCGGGCTCTGTTATGTATGATGCCGCCAGCTCCTCTCACGTCAGATCTGAACTCTGAAGCAACGGAACGCCAAGCAGCAGATTATTGAATACCACGGCCAGGATGTAACCTCAACAACTCAACCGCATGAACTCGACCGATCATCAAAAATTAGTGCGAGCGTCAGCACCAGCGCGTGGTTTGCTCCGTGCGTCTCAACTAGCCCCTGGCTACGGCGTTTAGCGTAACAACTGCCCTGAAGCCTCGCTGTGTCGCAGATCTTGGCCCAAAGTGCTTGACACGTCCGGCGCTATTTGCAAACCGTTGGCCATTACCAGCGGGGAAATTCCGCTTGGAATTTGAAGCTAGCAAAGACCAACCTATCGTTCAAAATTCACCCTTGGACTTGGCATGTAGCAGTTGAAATTGTGCGATATACACAATCAAGTGGCTGAAAAGAATACGGCATACCAAAGCTCTTGTCCGTAATGCAGGGACCTCGTTGTTTATTACATACAATAATATAACAATAATAAGATATTCTGCGATATTTAGCTTGAGATTGTATTTATTAATCGGTTAATTATTTTGACATTGTGTTAAAATTCAATGCTGAAGTGTCTAGGCGTGCCATATTTTGTGTCAGTCAAGTAATAATCTACAAGAGGCGTGAAGGCCTACTTTGGTCCGTTGTCTTAATTCTTAGGCCAGGATAAAAGAAGCACGCATTGGTTAGGTCTGCTTGGCTTCGGGTTTCTGTTCTACGCGCTGAGTGGTCTAATTATATCGTAGCAGTTGAAGCCAGTAGCATCTATCAGGAATGTCGATAGCAACGAGTGCTGAAATTCGAGAAACCGCATGAGTGCATGTTTACGGAACCTCGTCTTCCCATCCCACCGTGTAACTTTACGCGTCAAGGCTGCCACATGTCGCTTTGTGTGTGCGTGGCCCGCTAAGCTCATGCCGCCTTCTCACAATCTTCTCAGCACGTTTTGTCCCTTCTACCATTCACCTCTCATCCCTGCTCACCTTCTCCCTCCTCGCTTCTTCCCTGTCTCATTTATTCTTCTTCTAGTCCAACTCTTCCGCTTCAAATTTCAAGTTTCTATCTACAATCTCTACGATCGGATCTCGAATTTTGAGTGCTGCTTGTAGCAACTTCGAAAACAGCCAACGTTCGCGAACAGCCATCAGTCACCCATCATGCCTCCAGCGCTCCTCAATTTGCCTGCAGAGATACATGCGGAAATTGCTTCTCATCTTTCTGGTCACGACGTGAAGAACCTTCGTCTGGTCTGCTTCAAAGCACAGGAACGGTTTCCCTTGAAATTCTCCCGCATCTTTCTTTCACCAAACAAAGCCGACATCAGAGTATTCCGCAAAGTATCTCGACATAAGGCCCTCAGGCATCAGGTCGTAGAGTTAGTGTGGGATCACACTTATTATCCTAACCTTTTTTATCCAGATCCCCGTGTTAAGGTTGGTTCAGAATTGGGAAGTATAGTGGACTTCCAGAGCGATTGTGAATTAGAAGCGGCCAAAACTCGTCTTCGACAAAAACGATTCTTCCAGTCAGGGCTTCAGCTCCCAGATCACATGAAACAGCCAGACTCGTTTGATCTTGACTATGACTATTCGACGAACTTTACTGAACCTCGGTGTGGTACGCTACCAGTGTGCAAATGTATTGAGATATACAATACGCTCGCCAGACGTCAGACTAAAAATATCGAATCGGAAAAAGATCTAAGAGTACTCGCCTATTACATCCATCGTTTCCCACGTCTGAAGAAGATCACGATCTGCCATGCGACTCAGGGTTGGCTTTTTGAGCCATTCTACGATACGCCAACTACTCGACTTCTACCAAAAGGCTTTAGGTACCGAATCGACCGCTGTCATAAGATGCGGCCATACGACGAAGAGGCCTGGTTCAGAATGAAGATGGAGTATCCAAAATACTCCCGTGCATACATTGGAATCCTGAATGTACTTGCTTCGGCCGGAAACAAACTAAAAATTGAGGAGCTATCTATACAGAGCAACGGGCTACGACATGGCCTGATAGCTCATTTCTTCAACCAGGTAACACCAGAGTACCATGACTTTGTTGCGATGCTGAGTAGAACGACGTTCCGACGTCTGGATCTAGTCCTCACCACAGAGAGTCAAAATCGCATCCATTGGCCAGCATTCCGTTCGGGCCACCTGCGACACGCCCTAGGTCAGGCCGTGAACCTTCAGCACTTCAGCCTCACTGCTGACTTGCACACAGTCAGGCCGTCCGAGGATAACTGGACTGCGTTGGATCAAATCATTCCCGCCGATTTATGGCCTCTACTTCGATCTTTCCGCCTGATGGACTTTTTGGTCAAGCAGGATGATCTTGTTACCTTTCTCGGTACGCTTCCGCTGAGCGTTCGAACTATCGAGCTAGGCCAGCTTGAATTCGTCCCCGAGAATGGCGATTATGCCACACTACTTGACTTGATCAAGCACGAGCTGCATTGGAGTGATCGGCAAGTTGCAAAGCAACCGCGACTGACCATCATCGTTGCCATTAGCGACTTTGCTCCACCTGGCATGATGAACTGGATCGATTCTGAGGTTCAGGAATTCATATATTATCATGGAAGAAACCCATTTCGAGGTCTTCGAGGGCCTGTGGGAGTCGATGCCGGGGTTGGTGTTGAGCGAGATATGTTCAATCCAGATTATGAATGGCCTCATCAAGACGATTTTGATTGGGAGCGGGAAGTCAAACGCATGAGAGAGAAAAATCATCAACTTTTCATGGATCTACAAATCTGCGTGGACAGAATGCTCTGGCCTCCAGCCATTGCTTCCATGCTTGAGCCGACGAGAGACGATGATGATGTTGACGGCTTATATGGTGACACATCATTTGACCTCGAATAGTGTTCTGCTTGCGTAGCAGCGTCGTTTTCTGCCTGAAGAATTTTCAAACTGAGGGTCATGGTCAGCTGCACTGATGAACACCGGTTGAGGTACGGACTGACATGTATTTAAGATCCGGGGGGGGCGAGGGAGAGATCTTGAATCAACGTCTCCAAAAATCCCAAATAAAAGCATTCGGTTAGTCCATAGCATGAAGTTAAGTTTTGATGAGATAAGTTCACACTGGAACTTTACACATTGTTACCAGCAGAAGAGCAAGCATAGGCTCGTTTCAGAGGAGAAAAGAATTCCATAAAGGCTTTATTTAATTCAGATGTGCATGCAGTATACGTTACCCAAATGTAATGCAATACACCTGTATACCCGCAAGGTCTCAAGGGTTGGTAGACTCCATTCCTTTCGATGATTACTAACAAATCCTGCGGTGGGTGATGCAACCACGAAATATTTGTTGTCTTCCCCAAAAGCACCACCTTTCATTTTCCCCAAGCAAACCGAGCACAGCCAGCTAACACTGAAACGCTTTCCCAAAACGTAGACGCTCATTTCTCCGATGCGGTCTAAGAAAGGGTGTATTACTTGTAGGTCTGTGGTGGGACAACTTATCTCCCTCAAAAGCCCCTCCCTCAACCTCGAGCGTTCATTGACGATCGCGCACATGCAGGATTCGCCGAGTGAAATGTGACGAGACAGAGCCGCAATGCAAGAGATGCCTCTCTACCGGCCGTGTCTGCGACGGCTATACGCCAAAGGACAGTGGCATATCGCGACGCCAACTCACCCAGATGGCCCAAGATCTGAACATCGTCGGTCCCCTCTCAAGAGCCTTCGTGCAACAGCGCCCCGTTCCAGTTTCGCCAGACGAAGGCAGCTACTTTGACTTCTTTCGCCATGCCACTGTTCCCGGCACCTGTAATCTGTTCCCCTCGAGCTTCTGGCAAGAAAAGGTCATGCAGCTGGCCCACAGCGAGCCTGCTATCTGGCACGCGACCGCCGCGCTGGGTGCTCTTCATCAGAGGTCAGAAGTGGTCATGAAAGCCGTCGGGAGCCACGAGATGGCGCTTCTCAGCCAGGGGCTCGGGCATTATGGGCAGGCCATGGCTCTCGCCAAGGGTCTGGACTCCCCTACCAAGGTCGCGGTTCTGTCACTGGCCCTCGTCGCCATCGCAGGCCTCCTCGAGAAGTGGCCAGAGATGCACACGCACATCATGGCCTGCTTCAAAATCATCACAGAGCACGAGGCGCACACTCCAGGCTTCAAAGGTCTCCTTGGTTCATTGATGAGGTCGGATCTACATGCGATGACTTTCAATGACTCACAGTCGCCTTATCCGTACGAAGAATCGTCATCAGTGTTTGGTGCCAGCAGGTTTCTCGCATCTCATCCGATCGAGGGAAACTCTTATGAGGAACTTGCCTCGGAGCTGTTCGCCCTAGGGAGGGCATGGTTTCTCTTAGACGATGGGACTCTTTCGGAGAACGCCCTGTATGGCCCTTGGATGACGAACTTCGGTGCTTTTCTTCGTCGCTTCGCTCTATGGGAGGCTAAGATGGGCGATTATGAAAGGATTCATAGTAGTGATAGTGACCTGACAACAAGGTTGTCGCTTCGCCTCTATCATGTGACCTTCCGAACAGTGCTCCGGGGTAATTCGTTTGGTCCCGAGACTCGCTTTGATCCGCTACTTGGCTACTTCGAGTATGCCGTGAGGCTGGTGATGTGCCTTCGGCGGAAACTGGCGACTACGAACGTGATAGGGCTAAGTCTGGAACCCGGAGTGATCGTCCCTTTATGGATAGTGTGTCAGCGTTGCAGGCACCCCTCTTTGCGACGAGCTGCTCTAAAGCTTCTCGGCGAGGCGAACAGAGTAGAGGGCGTATGGCCGAGCGATGGGGCAGCGGCAGTGATGAAGGCCGTTGCAGCCTTGGAGGAAGAATCATTGGGCCTTATTGACGTGGAACCCTTCGCGCCGCCAGATTCGGGTTCTTCGTTCTTACCCGATGTTCCATGGATCGCCTGGTCAAAACCTCAATTTGATATGCCCACAACTCAAAGTTGGGCCAACGTGCCTGTAATACCAGAAACGATGCGCGTGCGGGATATTCTGGGTTCAAAGCGAGTTGCGGACCGACAGGTCGATCTACGCCTCTTGATGAGCTCGGGCAATAGCGACGAACCGTATGGAATGCCAGTGGAGCTGACTGTAAGTTATTGATGCCATAACATCACTGATCTAAATGACGATCCAAAAGATATTATACTGTCACACACCAAATAAATAGGATTCTTGATTAGGTACTTAGATCTATCAAAATCTTACAACTTCACATCCAAATCAGGAATGAGTTTCTCAATCCAGAGATTCTAAATCAAAAGATTCTCAAGAGATCCTCAATCGAGACTCGGTAACTCCCTTAGGGGAACTCAGTCCTAAGTCGCCCAACGGTCGAGACCATGGTGTTTCCCGAGCCCCATTTAGCCCAAGCCTTGCCTCCAGATGTAACACCGACAGAGAGAGCGCCCCAGATATAGTACTGGTTGCCGTTCAGTGTCTCCCAGAATGGGCCACCAGACTGGCCACCAGCGCAATCGGTGTTAGTGGACAGAGGACCATAGGTGTCGCACCCGTAGCCGTGCTCGGCGAGGACCTTGTTGTTGGTCTGGCGGAACGGCCTCTGTCCGTTGGTGCTGCGGTCGCCGGGGTAGCCGACGTGGTTGAAGCCGGTCTGCCCGATCTTGCTCTTGTCGACGTGCTTGACGCCGAAGTAGCCGTTGCTGTCCCCGAGGCGCTTGTTGATGATCATAACGCCCCAGTCGTTCTTGACGCCGCACTCGCCGCCGTTGGTGGTGACGGAGACGGTGGTCGTGACCTGGGCCTGGCCCTTGTGGCTGCCGTTGTCGTAGCCAGCCGAAAAGGTGGCACTTGCGCCGGAGATGAGGCAGTGCTTGGCCGTCAGGACGTGGCGGGGGCCGACGAGGGCGCCGGAGCAGTAGACTCCATTGCTCCATTGGATTCTGCCAACGGAGATGAAGGGGTAGGCAGTACCCGTGTACTGCTTGCGGTCATCCGCGCCTTCAATGAAGCGTTCTTCAAGAGTAGCAGCATCAACCCCGGGAGCGAGGAACGGTTCAATCTGGGTGGAAGTCTCGTTGGCAACATCTTCAACAGTAAGAGTGATTGCCTCTGGGATCTTGCTGTCATCCACACCGAGTGTGTTGACATAAGAGGCATCGAAACCCAGGAGGTCATCAATCTGGACCTCCGAGTCAGGAACAGGAGTTGCCGAGACGACAGACAGAAGGGCTGCGGACGCAACCGCGGAGAAGAGAGCCTTGACCATGATGAAGAAGCTATGACTAGGGAGTGCTATACTACTTTGGATGAGGATTTCAATAAGACTGAGGAAGGCCTTTGTCCCTTATTTATACTTTTTCATGCAACCGGATGAGAAGCAGGTCCTCGTATCAATTGCTATGTAACAATCCATTGAGTTGCAGTTTAAGGCATTTCGAAAACACCATTGCCCGAAGTCTATCATTATTTGCACTCTGCCGTGTTCCTGCAGGTCGAAAGACCCGATATTACTCACAGGCCAGCCTTAACATGCAAATTAACCAAAGAGGGTGGCATTGTGGCAAGCCTTGGCAAATCCTACACCCAGCCAATGTCAGCCCATGCAAATGTCACGTTGGTGAGAACAGCAAAGATTCCAATGTAGATGAGGTAAGCCTTGGCCTTTCATGCGCTTCATTGGGCTCTGATTGCAGCAAGCTGAAGAGCGAACGGTGAGGGATACCAAAGCCCCAACTGCAGGTGTTCGGATGAATCCACTTACTTCCCTCCCATGTTGTAAGTGCAGACCGGTTACAGACATCCGTCGCAATCAGATTCTTCAACGTGATCTGACAATCTTACATGGGGTTCTTGAAAAGCAATGGTGCCTGGGAAGTGGGTGCGTAAGCGGCATGTGGGAAGTCGAAAATCAGCTGTATAAAAGGACCTTTCTAATTAATTTAAGATATCGCCGAATACGACTAAAGGGTATCCAAGCATGGTAGACAAGCTGGGAGTTTCAGGGTACCTGGAGAAGGCTATATTTTTGGATCATGATTCGCCACCGACAAGGGAAGGGCAAGGCTATAGCACCTAGCTTTCATGATTTACCCCAGTGAGAACATCATCCGGTCCAAATCGATTAAAATTCACTAGATGACAGAAGCTTCAAGGATCCAAGGGACTTTGGGCTCAATTTCAGGGGGTGACAATGGAAGGATGCCCGCCACAACTGTGAAGTTCACCTTGTTATAGGCAGCACCTGGAAGGTGGGCGTCTCTCGGGTACGAGAATGAGCCTGAACGAGCAGAAAAACTCCAGAAGAGGCAATTGAATCGACAAGGCAGCTCGGACCGTACGGAGTCGATGTCAATATTCTCTCCCTGCCACAGGTCTTCATGGGACTTTGCATGGGCTGGGGCCTTTTGAACTGACAGCCAAGAGATCGTTTTTGGAATAGGCCGAGAGACGGTAGTAATCATGAATAAGTATCAGTCACTCAACAATCGCCAAGAATACACCGCGATATTTGAGACCGGAAATATCAATTTCTCATTCTGAGATGTTTGGGCTTGAAATCCCATGTACCCTAGAGTCCTTGATCAGACATGCCAAAATCTACTTCGTGTTCTACTAACAGATAACTCTCGTTTTGTTTAATATAATTTATTGTGTCTCTCTTATTAGTCCCTTTTCTTAATATAGCATAAACATCTGTAAAGATAATAGTTGTCGAATTTGTGTGCTTCCTGCTAGCATTGCCTGTTCGCTTATGGGACCTAAGCCCGATGGAAAACATGAGGAACGCTTTGAAAGTGTATCAACAGTAGCCTATTTATTGATAATCAACACATCCAGAGATACAACATCTTGTCAACAAGCATCAAGTGACATGTTTATTGCGGACTGTGGCTTACCCGAACCTCACTTCGAGCTAGTTGACATTGATAACATGCTCAGCCCTAAATTCAATCCTCGTAGGTACATTAAATGAAAATACACTCTCTAAACAAGTACGAGAAAGTGCCTCGTCCCCAAATTACATGTCATTTTGTGAGCTGGTCTCTCGAAGAGGAAACAACGCGACCCCGGACATAGATTTTCCTCGCGTCTCAAGACATCTCCACATGGTTATAGTTGGGCAAGCCGAGAGCAAATCTGCTACAGTAGGGCATTAGGACTGTATAAGTATACTGAATACTTATAAATATATACTGCTCTAGCTATTGCCGTCATTTCGGGATCGATAAGAGTCATTGCGAAGAGACTTATACAGGGACATATCCGAGGTCACTCAAAACAATGAGCAAGATCTTGGAAGGATACAGCTCCTATTCATATGATAATGATCAAATACGGCACGTGTTTTGAGAGGAGAAATACAAAAACCACCTGAGAGAGCGAACAAGCATCAGGCCATTGTTGGCATAGATACTACAAATGCCACGAAAATCTTCTTATAGAAGTTGACGAGGAAAGAAGAATGCTTTGCCATTGCTCTCACAATCTCGACCCCCTCACTTTCTACAATTAGCAGACGAGTCTTAAACGCGGCAAAGGGCCGTGAGATTTGATTTTAAAGTTTGCTAACTGTCGCCCGATATTTGATGAGAGAGCTATGCACTTGGGGGAACTTAGAATCATGGTTTAATACCGACCCCGGTATCGCCATGCGTAGGCCCTCGAGAATCTCGAAACATGCTTCTCCTATAGTTATATATACATTCTCCAATCTAAGAATCGATCCAAGTCATTATGCCAGGTGGAGCAAAGCTGTACCGAACCTCCAGTGTTGAGTTTCAACGCAATACCAAAACAAATAACCTAGTAATAATCACAATATCAAGCTAAATATCATTGATTTATTTATTGATTTTTACTATTAGGATGAGTACTCTTAATAAGAAAATGAGGGAGATCGGTTATGAATGGTAACTTATTCTACGCTACATATCTGTGTCGCAGGTTTGAACAGATGCGCCCAGTATTCCTAACATGCACTATCTATTCCCGATCGCTGATTATATACGTTAAGATTCCCCAATCACATAGGGAGGTCAGAAAACTAAAAGCAACAAGTTACCTAACAAGCTAAAAAACTCTAGTAGCTTGAAACAGAACTCAAGAAACACCAGGGTGAGAGCCCGAGATCAGACTCAAACAAATCAGAAGATATGCTATGGTCAACTCTCAACGGACCGAAGAAGTCGAAGTCGGACAGCAAGAATTTTCATGGACGCAATGGAAGAGCATTTCACGAAGTGCATAACTGATCTCGCACATCAGACGGGTGAGCATGCGAGCGTACATAAGAATTGCGTTAGCTGGGACGGAAGAACGAGTCGTATGACGGGATGGATGAAATAAGTATATATAAAATATATAGAAGTAATGTATGTGCTTTTTGAAGTATCATTATATCTCTTTTTCTGCATGAGATGGCTAAAAAGAAGGCATAAGGATTTGGTATATTATCTCTTATGCCACTCGGTTGGTAAGATAGCCCCCTGTTCTGCTCCAATGCCGTTCCAAGTACCGTTGCCACAGACATACACAGACCTATAGAACGCTTGTCATCTCCAATGCCGTTCCCATAGACTTCTAGCCCAGTCCTTGTTATACTCCAATACCCTCCAGGGTCATTCCGTAATCTCAGGAGTAATATAAAGCTAAAAAAAACCTAATTAGATAAGTAGAAGTATATAAAATCTTTTCTTTCTTCAATCAAGTTGAAATTATCAGTCTACCCACTGTCTCTCAAGAAGCTATTCACCCATTCTTTTCTTTTCCAGATCATCTTACATCAAAACTATTCAAACTCCAAAATGCATCTTATCAAGGCTCTAATCTCCATCTTCGCCCTCTCAGGGTCCATTGCCGCACAACATACCGAGGAGGGAGGCCTCACCCGGCGCCAGGAGCTTACCGCTGCTCGCGAGGAACTTCTTGTTGCCCGCGACAACTACCTGGCTGTTCGCGACCGCAAGGCTGCTGGCAAGACTGCTGGCAAGTCTGCGCCCAAGACCGGAGGCACTAGTTTCAATATCCCAATCTGTCCAAACAGAAGTATGATTTGTCCCCCTCATTACTCTCACTTCCTCGTTACCTTGGAAACCAGCCTGACACTGGCATATGTAAGCGATCGCCTACTGGTAAAATCATGTGTATGGTTGGAGCCGTTCCCTGCAAGGTGTGTGAAATTCCACCCGAGTATGAGAATGGTCCCTGTACATGCCCCCCCTCCCGGCTACCTCAAGAAAATTCAAGCCGGCTGCTACTTCTCAACTTGGTCCATGGTATTATGGCATATACCTAGAACATGCTGGATGCATGTTACTATTGTTGTGCTGTGTGGCTTCCCTTGCGGACACAAGGCTTCCGACTTGGGCTGAGCGCTGAGGAATGCCGCTGTATACGATTGGAACTGGATTTATTTGGTCAACTGTACGAAAAGCCTAATTAGGTGATTATTTTATTGTCATTGTTATTTATATATAGCTGCCTGGACTCCCGGTTCTAGATAGTAATAAATTCTACTGGATATACCAGAGCTGAACTTAGATTTCGTACAGCAAAGCGTTTTGTCTTCGCCCGAGTAGACATCGCACCGTCCGGTTAGCCTTAGGCCAGCAACACCGTCTTCCTGCGGTGCAATACCTCCATCTTCTATGCATATAGTTGGATAAAACTTCGGATCCAACCTGTCGTGCCGATGTCCGTTTCCAACGCCTTCAACGACGACGGAAAGTTCCATTTAGCTGGTGCGTTGACGCTCTGTAATCTCAGTAGATTACACCTTGGATATTGATACTCAGCCTGATCCCTTCACATGGCTAATGTAGCCCTCCTATCGGTAATCGGGGTTTCGCTCATGGGCTCCGCATCAGTGGTAGTTCCCCTACAAGGCTGTCTGTCCTTTCTGGCGCTTTTGCTAGGCAGAGGCCAGGATGTCAGCTCTTCACAATGCACGACATCGTAGCTACCTTTTAGCATCAGGGGTGTTAATCAGGGCATTTTTCTCGAGAATTAGCTTCGACTTTCGAGAGATAGTCTCGACTAAGCCATGCAATGTGACTTGTCTGTTAAGGGTAGCGGCGTTCGGCCATCATTATTTCCCACCTACCACCAATTGATGAAGAGGGGATTCAAAATCTATGCCAGGCTGGGGAACTTTGCCATGGTAGATGTGGGCTGCTGTTTCTTTCAGCAAATTTCCGTGGCCACGAGGAGACTTCTGGATGCAATTGAAGGCCATCAAGCGGATTAATTGATTGACGACACCCCCCTTCCGCAGTTCCCCAAGATGTGATCAAGTAATCCAGATTGCAACTGGATTTTATCCGCCCTAGTGCGATGACAAAGCCCAGGCACCAATGGCGTGATTCGCCATCTCCAATTTGATCTGGAAAAACCGGAGGTGACTGTTCGATTTGGGAAACGACGCTGTCGGCGAAAGTCACCGATCGAGATAAAACAAGCAAGCCGGGAATGGTGACGCTAATGAATCACCCTAGTTTCCGTATGCTGGAGGAGATTCTTGGGGTGTCACTCAGGGTCCTGGCTGATGGCCTTTTGAGGGGAATGCCATGGGGGCTATGGGGGCCATGGATCACAATTTTCAGATACGGCGGCCCGGCATCGATGTGGAGGGTGGCAAGGTGGTAGAAGGAGTTGCGGTGGGCCAACCTACTGCGAAAACGGCGCAATTGATGGGGCGGTTCGACACGGATGCCGAGCCTCTTGTCTTCTGCAGCTCTTATCTTGCATGTCTCAATTTCTTCCCTCTTTTAATCCATCCAGGCGCGTTGGTGGAACGTGACCAGCGCTGCTCTCTCCCGCCGAGTTGTTCGGATTGACGTCGCATAATGACCCTGCAAAATGAGACGACCCCGCTGCTGCGCACCTCAAGCGGGCAGCAGGAAGACGCTCCGAAAGGGTGGTTCAAGCGGGCGCTCCGGACCGTGTTCCATGTCGAGAACCGCATCTTGTTTGCCGGCTTCCTCATCACTCTCTCCTTTAGCTTCACCCAAGTCCCGTGAGTCTCTGGACACGCCCCGTATGCTCGTTCCATTCCAATTGACCACGGGCCGTCTAGGCTGCTTTACGTATTTCGGTTGATGGAGTGCGATATCTACTATGACACCCATCCTCCGTATGAAGGCGACGGCGATCGCTGCAGTGTCAATTCCATCTCAGCAGGCACTGCCACCCAGTTCAGTATTTTGGGCATGAGCACAACTCTTTGTGGTCCGCGTTCCCCATCCATTCCACAGATCCGGGCCGACAGTCGCTGACCTGAGCTTGTGCTGTACAGGAACGATAAACTTATTCGTTACCGGATGGATGTCGAAGAAGTATGGGCCTCGCGCGGCGATCCTCGTCCAGACGTTTGTGCCCGCCATCCGCGTTTTGACCCAGATCATCGGCGTCGTGGCTGGGAGGAGGGAAGGCATCCTCATTATCCAGGCTACTCAATTGATCACCATTCTCGGAGGGCCGGCAGGCTATATGTAAGTCGAGATACCTCCATCTGACCTTGGCGATCTGAACTGACGGAGAAAGTCTCATGGCGAATATCATTACTGGAGAGCTCGTTGAGCCAACGAGGCGCACCGCCGTCTTCGGTCAACTCCAAGGAACCATCATGCTGGGTCAGGGTATCGGATACCTAGGTAGATGCTCCCGTTCCTCAACCCTCCCATCAATCCCCCCCGCCGGGGTTCCCAGACTAATGAAGAACATATTCCAGTCGGAGGCATGTTAGGTGATATTGACCTCCGGGCGCCATTCGACACTGCCTTCGTGTTCTTCCTCATCTCTGCAGTCTACGTCCAATTGGCATTGCCATACATCGACCCTGCCTCCATGACCGACGGGAAGAAATCAGACAAGGGCGCCATAGCTGCGTTCCTTGCCCCTCTGAAAATCCTTATTCCCCAGCGTCTGCGTCTCGCGGATGGCCGGATCAAGAAGCACTATGGCGTCATCTTTCTCTGCGCCGGTATCTTCATAGGCGTGGTACGTTGATGTTGTCCCCCCTGAACTCAATACACTCTCCAGGCTGATCCCTCTTTATAGTTGGCGACAGGCTACGCGCCTCTGCTCATCCAGATGTACGCGACCGGAAACCTCGGCTTCTCGCAGGCGGACAACGGATGGCTCATGAGCGGGTTCGCAATGATGCGCGCGCTCTTCCTAATCAGCGCGTTCCCCAAGATCATCTCCTCCGGCCGACGATGGATGACTCCGCCGTCGGCACCCGAGGGCACTAACGAGCAGACCGACGAGGCGCAGCTGCCAACCGACCCGGCCGAGTTCGACGCGCCGGTGGGAGATCAGGCCGACGAGGAGCCCGTCAAGCCGCCTGCGCACAGCAAGCAGGGGGATCGCAAGGAGTACCTCTTCGACCTCGTGTTTCTGCGCTGGTCGCTGCTCGTCGACGGCGCGTTGACGACCCTCGCGGCCTTTGCGACGGAGAAGTGGCACATTTATCTCGGTATGTCATGAACCCGGTGCCCTCTCTTTACCCTGGCTAACCCAAAGATGCCCTGAATAGCCACGTTTCTCCTCCCGCTTGGATCTGGCACGGCGCCGGCAGCAAAGGGAGTGATCACGGATATGTGCTCCGGGTCGCAGCGAGCGGACGCGCTGAACGCAGTGACGCTGGTTGAGAACATTGCGAGACTGGCGACGCAGGGTTTATTCGGTTTCGTGTTTTCGACGTTTTCGAATCTCGGGATAGCCTATGTGACCTTCTTCTGTAATGCGGTAGGTGTTCTCCCCGGCGCTTTTCGTTGATCGTTCGAGTGACTGATTTTTGGTGATAGGCCATTGCGGTGTTGGGAATGGGGGTTCTGTTGTTTTCGCACTTCCCTCCTGAAGGCGCGCAGGTCATCGACCAGGAGAAGGACGAAGATGGAGATGAGGAGCAAGAGAGGACTGAAGCATGATGATGGAATGAAAGCGACGAAGAATTACTTGCGACGTTGTTTTGCGGGGTATAGAAGGGACAAGGTAAAGTGAAAAAGAAGGAACGATGGACAAATGAAAAAGGTGGATGGGAACACAAAGGAAACACGGAACATGATTCGAAGCGCCATCGGATTTTCAACTTCCCGAGAATCAGCAGCTGAATCAGGTACTGCCACGGTTGGTACGAATATCGGGTTGATGAAGAAAAGGTTACACTTACCAACGACGAAGCACGGACAATGACCATAGAGGCGTTTTGGGAAAACGACATAAACGGGGAATTGATTTGAATTTCCTTTTCCTTAGTAAACCTCGAACTATCAGAGTACTATGATGTCTATAAGCAAGCAGCAGCAGTATCGTTTGCCTCACCTCTTCCTGGTTTGATTTTCTTGCTCACCTCGATCAGCGATATGAAACCAGAAACAGAAGCAACAGCAACCGCAAAGACATCCTAAATAATTTCAGCGCGCAGGGCATTCTCGCCCGATCAATACCACCCGAAAGGAAAAGGAACCCATTACCCACTCTCTCACCATTGGCTCACTCATGTGAGTAGAAGTTCGACCACTCCTTTCCTAGATTGGGTCTTCAGCGTCGAGCACGCTTCGTCTCTCGATCATCAATGGATGACGTACCCTCCATTTGAGCAATCTCCTGCCCAGCACCAAACTCATCAGCCTGGCCGCTCCCAAGCTCCAGCCCTTCCATCAGCCCGGGAAGCGCGTCCTCAACCGGCCGCGCGAGGGCGTCGTCGCCGTCGCCGATGTTGAGCATCTGCTGGACCCGACCGCCCGGGTCGAGGTCGCCCCTGCGAAACTTGGCATAAAATATCATGAAGCGGCTTCGGCCGTTTTCGACCTTGGGGAGGCGCTTCTCAGTGAAGATGCGGTACGCAAGGGGGTTGTACCGCTTGACGGCGGGCTTCTTCCAGCGCCTCTCCTCCACGATGGCCACGAGGGCGTACACGGCGTCGCTCGGGCTCTCGATCAACTCATACACGGAGATTTCTGGTTCGTCAGCGGGGGTAGCAGCGAAGATGGCGGGGATGTATCTGTACTCGCGGCCCTCTGGATCCCACCGTTCGGGGTAGTGTCCAGCGCACCCGACCCTGAAGATGGTGGGTAGGTCGTCATAGACGATGGGTGCCGAGTGCAGCTTGGCGATGTCCCGGGAGAAGAACTTCGGGAGGGAGACATCGTCCCATATGGGTAAAACGTCGGGGCCCAAGCCGTCAATATGGAACTCGGGCCGGTTCCAGAGCGTGGCTACCATGGCTTTGCAATTCACCACGTCGAAGATGCTCATGTGCGGTCCCAGGAGCTGTGGTTTGATCAGCTCCCAGCAGTTTTCGACTGCGTGCAGTGGCTGCTCCAACCAGGCGAGACGGAGGACTCGGTTCTGGGCCTCGGCCTTGGCGTCGCCCCAGAACCGCTGGCCAGCCAGGGCGGACTGGATCGTCAGAATGTAGTACACCTGTTGGACCAGGCGGAGGACACACTTAACGGGTTCGAAGGCGTGGGTGGCGGCGATGGATTGGGTCGCCGGATGGGAACCAAGCGCCGAGAGCTCGACAACCTGCATGTGAGCAGGGGAGGAGCGGATGTCTTCATCCTCGTAGAGGACTTCTGCGTTGGACATGGTGTCTTTTCTTGTTTTTGTTCTTGTTCTTGTGCTCGGGGAGTTGTTGATTGCAGTGTTGGGATTCTAGATGAGTGAGATGATGTTGTGGGAAGAATTGCAATGGTCGCCAGGGAAGTCAACGGTCTTTTATATGTGTTCCAGGAATCCAGAGGCTCTCATATTTCCCTTCTCAGGTTGGAATCTAGTCAATTCAAAATCTGATGCGCCATTGTCATCCCTATTCAATAGCATTGCAGTCCATTATCCCAAGAACGCCAACAATAGACGCAAGTGTGCTCACTTCTATCTCACTTTGCATGCAATACAATATCCGACTCTGCGCGATGAATACGGTCCCATAACCTCACAACCATTGTAGTCACATTGGATAAAGAGCCCAGAAATATGCTGCCAATTTGCCACCAGAAAGTGGCTGATAATGCCCAAATTCGCCGGGGGTTTCCGTCCATTGTTCACCGTCACATTCACCATCTCAATGTCACTTCAAAGACCGGGCTGCAAATTGCATACTAAGAGTGAGGTTTAACTCTACTAACTGGGTAACTATTTACCTTGCAGAATTCCCTAGTTTAATTGAACTAGATATTGAAGCCATATAGGAGAGATATTCAACATATTTCAGAATTTCGGTGGGCCAAACAGAGGAGGGACACCATCTATCTCACTCTATTCAACAAGATCTGAACAATAAGCCTGCTCTGCCACAGGTAATAGCGACAATATGAGCATTCTATGCGAAGCTTGCCACCTCTTCGAGAAAACACCAGCCGCAGCAATCCTGTACACTGAATGGGCGTAAGTATTATTCTTTGTTAACAACCACGCGCCAAATGCATCGTGTGTCGGGAAGATTGTGCCGACGAGGATACAACAAGGAACCCAAACCCGGGCAGTCAATTAATCTGATAACTGAAAGCCCTGAAGTTGTAGTGGCGAATGAAACGGCCTTTTGGGGAAGACAGTCACACAAATTCGCCTTGGTCGCAGGGCAGAAACTACCTTAGTAGTGGGTGGACCATACTCAATGATTATCACTGGGAGGAACTGGACCATCGTAGTAAGGCCATGCAAGTGAATGCCTGACAAAGAGAGCTGTAACGCTTATCGATTCCAACTCGAGGCTCGGGTACAGATACTCACTCGTTCTTACGCTGGGTGTACCCTGAGCAGGTTACTTGTAGGTACCGCTGCTGTCTGGTATCACACACTCACGGCTAGCTGCACGTAGAAGTTGGCTTGACAACTCCCACCAAAGCAAACAGTTACTGCCCATCCATCACATCACTGCGCGTGCTTAGGAAAACAGAAGGACTTGCTTCTTTAATCACGGTTGCACAAACCCCTGCAGCCCCATCCGATCGCCCAGTCTGTTCCTGGCATCCAGCGCGACAGCCGCAGATCGCCAAGCGATCGTCCTCCATCTAACCACTCCGCAGCTAGCAGATCTCGAAGCCGTTTTCCCGCTTCATTTTCTCGTTTCCGTCTCGGTTTTTCTTCTCTCGTCGTACCCATCCTGGCCTCTCATTTGCAGAAGGCCTCGATGAAACCATCACCGTCTACTCACCTCACCACGAAAGATGGACGCCATGGCCGCTCCCAAGATCATCCACGGCCACAACCCTCATCCAGCGACGTCCATCATCGCGCCTCCACCGGCACATCTCGACCCGCCGTCGTATGAAGAGATCTCCAACTCCAGACCACCACCAGCCTACGTCGACCCAAACCCAAACACCTCCCCCGCCCGCCGCGAGGTGATCCAGGCACGAGCCGTCTTCACCCAAGAACCGCCCCAAGAGCAGCAGCCCTACCCGCGCTGGCTCAGACGCAACCTCTCCGTCGCCACATTCACCGTCTTCTTCATGGTCCTCGTCGCCATTCCCCACCTCATCTTCGCCTGCATAGTCGCCAAAGATCTCCACGACGAGTACGTATCACCCAACCACACCACCCTTCTGCCCATAGAAGGAAAAAAAAAAAGCAAAACTAACCACATCCATCAGTGAATTCGACTACAAGTGCGCCAGATACTACATCTCCTCCGCCGACGAGCCACCCCAAAACGAGCACTGGACCGTCCCAACCCCGGGCATCTTCCACTCCGACTGCCGCCTCCTCTACCACTGGTCCCAGCTCCTGACCGCCGCCGGATCAACCACCATCCTCCGCGCCCTCCTCCAGGCCATCCCCGTCCAGAGATCCTCCAGCAATTCGACCCCCAACGGCAACCGAAATCGCATCACCAAGTGCCTCCTCTCTCCCTCGGGCGTCTTCGCCCTCCGCACCCTCTCCTCCCTCTCCCTCTTCGCCCTCTACCTCGCCTCCGGTCTCATCCTCAGCACGAACCGCTTCATCACGGGGCCCCAGGCCCGCGACTCCCTCCGTCCAGTCTACCTAGGCAGCGCCGGCCTCATCTGGTTCTCCGTCTTCATCACGGGACACCAGGCCGCCACGACGGGCATAGCAAGCTGGTGCGCGAGAGGAATGAAGGACCCCCACGAGCGATCCTACACGCCTTCAATCTAATAAGATAAATGTTCTCACAAATGTAGAAACTCACTGTATGGAAGAAAACAAATCATCATTGCAAAATATACGTCTTTATTCAATTCCAACGCCAGATGCTCCTTCACTTCCCAACTTCGTGCTTTCTACTAGAAGATATCATGTCTCTTTGAGAACGTTAAAAAAAAAAGTCAATCGTAACAACTTGTACAGAAAACAGCAATGGGGGCCTTTCTTCGCTCTCCTGCCCCAGATATGGTCGTCGGTCGTCATTGGGGTATAAGCTGAATAATACAGGGGGTGTGAGGGAAAATTGACGATGCCGAAATCCATCATTGGGGTGTTTTTCTCTATGCAAAACCCCCCCCGCCATCAAATCCATAAACGTAAACTATAAGAGAAGCCATCGCCAAATTCTTTAGACACCTCTGAACATGCGGACAATCATGAACCAGCAGGCGCCTAAGAACTTGAAGCCACTCAGACCGGCCACACTGTAGAGGACGACAATTAGATAAATGTTGGTTCGCTTCTCCTCCTCATCTGCATTGCTGCTCCCGGTAGTACTGAGTGTATCAAGACCTCCTGAGCTCAATACCACAGCGCAGAGAGCAAAGTTTGTGACCATCCAGATGAGGACGACACCAGTTCGCACACCTCTGTAGTAGTCCATCTGCTTCTCTTGGAGCTGGGCAGGGGTCGGTGGCTTCTTCTCTTCCACGAACTTGTGGTTGAACGAGGCCAGCTCGCGCTGGTACTGGGCGTTGAGGTCGCCTTCGTCGGGGAGATCTGTCTTGCCTTCGCCGTCCTTGGTGCTGACTGATGGAAGCTTCTCGACCTTGTCGTCACCCTTGGTACCCCATGAGACATCGTGGGTGTTGCAAAAGGCGTAAACATTGAGAACGTTGGTGAAGGTAGGGGTCAGCAGCATGTATTGACCGATCGAGGTGACCATATGCCACGGGTCAAACATCATCAGGGATGCGATCAGCCACAGACCAAAAGTCGACATGAGAGAGATGATGAGCGTGTAAAACACCTGGTCCTTGATGAGGTCGCTCAATTGGAATCCATTTGCAGTATGTTCCATAATGGAAATAACAGTCATGTAGATAGCGGCAAACAAGAGATATCTAAATATGTACAGTTAGCAAGAACATCGCAATCAAAAGACGAATTCTCGGAGTAGATACTCACATCATGAGGATAGCCCAGAACCAAACCATGGCAGTGTAGAGCTTTCCAGATCCGGCCGGCCGATTTCCCAGGGAGAGAACAAAGCATGCACCCAAGAAGGCACCGTACAACCAGGTGAAAATAACACCCAGGATCTGACCAGGCCTCTTGAGCAGGTTGTCAGCACCCAAACTCCCCGTGAGAATCTTGAAAACCAGGAAGAAGTTGCCGAGAGCGAACCACGCAAAGATGGTGTTGATGGTCTGGAAGATGAACTCGACGAAGAAGAAGAACTTCCGGATGGCTGAGTGGTCAGAGCGGAAGAAATCGTAGAAATGAACGCCGGCATAAATAGAGGCGAAGAAGGAACCATTGAGCCAACGACGTCGTTGCAAAATCAGTTCAGTCACGGTATCTGGCACATCAGTCTCTCCAGTTGCCGACTTGACGTATTGCAGGATCCAATGGCAGTTCCTCTTCGTGACCAGCTCGAAACAGAGAATACGATCTTCGGCGAGGTACATGTTGGACTCGAAAAGACCAGCATCAGCACCTCCGTGAAGTGTTTCGCCCAAAAAGTACTTCTCCAATGGGCCCTTGCCGTTCTTGTCATTCTGAAGAGCAACATATCGATAGGCAGAAAAGGCACCTGGCAACACGGAAATAAAACCAAACGCAGACTCCAGCGGCTTGTCCAGGATATTACTCATCTTATACTCGAAGTTCTGTGCCGCAACGATCGGGTTCAAAAGAAGCTTACCCCCAGTTCCCAACATGGCCTTGATCTCACCGCAGGCACCTCCGCACATGGGCTCGAGATCAAACGCTTTCCAGAGATGGTAGATGGACCTGCCACCTGGTCTCGTACCGGCATCGAGTAGAACACAAATGTTGGGGTCCAAAACACGTCCAAATGCCTGGAAAAACCACCGGTGGGAATTGATCTTCTTCTGGTTCTTCTCCTTCAAACAAAAGAGGACTTGCACAGGCTGCTTATTGTGGACCAGCGAAACGACACCGTTGTTGAGCGCCAAATGGGTCTGCGTGGTGTACTCGTAGATATGTGCCGTCACGTCCTTGTCGTTGACCTTTTGCTTCGCGATACCCTCCTGATAGACTCCCATACCCGCCAACAAAGCTCTCGTTCTCGGATTAATCTTAGCTCGACCATCGCTGACAACGCACACCACAATCTTCTTCCAAGCGTCCTTGCCCCAGGTCTTGCTGTTTGGTCGGCTGTTGCACATGTAATCGATATTCTTGAAGACACCGATCATCGTTCGGGCAAAAAGGATGTCGTCTTCGTTATACATCGTCACCACGATGAACAGCTCCGTGTGTCGGGGTTTGCTGAAGAGCTTCTGGCGCAGAGTAAAGTTTTCTTCGTAAAACAGGGACGGGTCGCAGGTGGCTGCAGTATATCGCATGTGGGTAAACTCGTCTCGTTCGCCGTGCTTGACATTCTGAAGAAGGATGGGGGGTACTGGGCAATCCAAAACAAGATTGCCCCGGTACAGCAGAACTCGCTTCACTGTCTTGTGCCGCCGAAGGCCTCCTCCTTCTTGTGGCGGTGGTGGTTGCTGCTGCTGGTGAGGATCATCTGCGTACTGGTCGGAATTTTGGTGCGAGAGCATTGGTCGTCCGTCTTGGTCGTCGTAGTCGTACCCATGACCGTCATGCCCAGGAGTCGTTGATTCATAGCCCCTGTTATAGTATGCATCGTGATGAGCTTCGGGGTTGACAGAGTAATCGCCGTGGTCGACGCCGACCTGGCTGTTGTTGTTGTGGTAGCCAGACAAGTTATCAATAGAGTGCTGTTCGAATGCCACCGTTAGCCTGTCAGCCGTCATAGAAAGCTCAGTTTGAGGGTGTACCCACCGCCGCATTCATTGTCAGGAAATCGCTTGGGGTTCCCAGCCTCAGATCCGCCGGATTATATCCCGAATGTTCTCCTGGAGAGGGGAACCTCGCCGGGGAGCCGTGTTGAGGCATGTCTAGTCGCTGCTGTGATTGCGAGTAGGAATACGGGTTCTCCTCGAGTTGGTATCCGGGTTGTTGATGGCCAGGCGAGGGGCTGCGGTAGCGGCCCCTCTGATCCCTGGGATCCATCTGGTCGTAATAATCGTCGTCTGGAAATTGGGAATGTTAGTTAGGCTTTGTCGAGGGGTCGTGGTTGTGTGGGCAGCAGCTGGTGTTTGAGGGCGTTTGAAGGGGGGTTATCGAGGTTGTAGCTGCGAAACGTTGCAACTTGGTTTGCGCCATACAAAACGGTCGTCGCACCGTCGTCGCACGTTGCCAGCAAATCGTTGTAGTCCTGCAACGAATGACTTGGAGCGAAGAGGGTGCGCAGGATGGGTTGGGAGGTAGGTAGTATTTGCAACTGATAGGGTAGATTGGGCTCGAGGAACACGAGAAGCAACTGCAAGCTGGGCAGGGCGCATCAACTCACTTAGCCTGTTATACGACATGGTTTCAGATCTTTCATGCCCTTGTTATGTATGGTTGTCGTCGTCACCAGTCGGCTGCCCAGCCCAGAATAGTGTGGGAACAACCAAGACCACCGGTCTGTAACAAAGGGCGAATCGTTAGGTGTGTCAAGGTGTAGTAGGACGTCTCGGTTCCTGGACTCGGTACGGGTGGAATGCTGCAAGGGCCCACGGAGGGTGCGGTGCGATGCGATGCGATAGTCGAGGACAAAAACGTGGCTTCTTGGAATGGATTTGCTCGCCGAGGACCTGTCTCTCTTGGAACAAAGGTAGACAAAGGATTGAAAGTGGTGCAGGTGGGACTTTTGAAGCAAAATGCCCGAGGATGGCTGCGAACAAGCTCAGAGGCGGCGGGAGAAGGTTTCAAATGACCAGCGGGAGCAAGGTCAAGGAGAAGTTGGTCGGAGCTGGAGATCAATGGATGGATTTCAGTGGCTGGCCTAGCAACACATGCAGCCAAGTGGAGGCGGGGCGATGGGCAATTGCGCACACAGAACTGCTCCTCAGCAATTGCACGTAATAGTCCCCAAGAGTGGGCTCGCGTAGTCGCTACCATCTTAGGCCATGGCCTGTAATTATAAGGGGGCACTGCACATGGGGCCCCGTCAGCCCCGACCGGTGGCAGTACTACGTCGTGATAGCGCGCTAGGCTGTTTGCTGGGCTGCCGTCTGGCTCACAAGGGTCCAGCCGAGTGTCCTGGAGATCGCAGACCATGGTGGAGCCACAGTGTTTCACCTGCTGGGTCCATCCTCACAGTGGCCATGATCACCGAATATTAAGGATCATATCGAGCCTATTGCCGCCCATCGCCATTTGGCCACAGGATTTCCTTCCAGATTCGCTGCAGCGCCTGGCCAATCAGCGTCCGCAGCGAGGAAATTATATCTCGTCCTATCTTGCGAGGAGGACACTTGCCAGTGGCATCTGTCAAGAAAGAACGGCGGCTGCAAGTGCCCGCCCAGCTCCCAATCCATTGCCAACTTGCATCCGCTACGCTCAGCCGCTACGCTCAGCTGAAGCTCTCAATATCAGAGCTAGATCTGTCAGCCGACAGCAGCCCAAGTCCAGACCAACAACCATATTCAGGTCTATTGAGCGCCACCAGAGAAAAAAATGAATGCCGTCCCATTGAATGCTAATTTTGCTCATTATCTCATCCCACCATCCATGGAACCTTATCGTCGGGTACCCGAACCCTCTTGAGGCAACTCGTAGGACAATGACAACAGCCCAGGGCGCAGTTCATGCGATGTACCTCGTAGCAAAAGTCACTATTGCTGAGAAGTCGACGCGGCTCTGCGTCATTCGCCCATTTGATGGAACCTACCGGTCATGCGCTCAGTCTTGGCGCTTCTCACCATCGCATTCTGCCATGGACAAGAGCGAGCTGCCAAATGACCATCTCGTCCCTGCAGCGGAGTGATGGCCCTCCCTTGTGCCCAAAAATAAACCACCGAACCCAGTCTTTTGGTCCATCGCCACCCTCACAAGCCACACACCATTGCTAACTAAGCAAGTTCTCGTAGATCTCCGAACTAGTTTCCTTACTGCTCAGCCCCTGCGTAGTCGTATCCTATGTCGCGGCCTTCGAGAAGGAAAACAGGTTTGCACTAGATCAACATGCTCTCTCCGTTAAAACCTTCCCTCCGACGCGCGTACGCCGGCAAGCCGTTGAGCTACCCCTTCCTGCAGCGAGCGATGTCTTGCCTGTGCTCGCCTTATGTCGGATTGGCTCCTCTCTCGGCTCGCTTCAATAATCAGCACTGATATGTCCAGTTACATAGCCCCGGCGGTGTTAGGCCAGTGTGGGCGCATCCACACTCGCAAACCGCTGGGGGGTCGGGACCGCTCCAACGGGCTTGTGGCTTTTGCTCTTTGCGGGGAGGCAACAACCTCTCGTCAAGGGTACGGAATACTCCGTAGCTACATATGCCAATCTATCACAATCTAATCTGTGGTGAGAGCAACTTGTCGTAATGCGGCTAGCACATTCGTTGAAAGAGCCAATACTGCCCTAAGGTGGATGGCTCGACTCCCCGAACCACACAACTGATTCAAGCTCAGGAATGCTGTCAACGTTGGTTCCAATTGATCCATATCGAGTGGGCATGCGTCAATCTTAGCTCCAACCGTCCCGAGCAGCTGGAGTGCAGCCGGCTGTCACTATTTAGGTTTATATTAACCATACCTGTAGCCACACCATATTGGACTTATTCCGAGCATTCACGCTCTCCCCGGGTCGACTCTCACTTTGACATTCTCGTCTTAGTGGTCTAGACCAAGGACAAGCTTCTACGGCCCAGCCGTACCCATCAAGCCACCTTCCATGGAGTGGAAAGAACGTCTGCCTCGATGACAAAGGCCGATTCCTTTCAGGCACTGGTCTTCCAGGGAGGACACCGAGGTGCTCTCCCGCTACAACGAATGATCGGACACAGATGCAGTCGGTTTTCAGTGTCAAAGCCCCTGCAAGGGGCTATTGGCTGAGTTACTAGATGGCGTGGGCTAGTAGAGCCATGGATAAAAGATAACCTACCATACTACAAATATACAAGGCAGTTTCTACGAGCCAAATGTGGCCGTTATACAAGATGTGTGTCGTATTCGTGCCTTATCAGCTGCGCCGTCGAAAATGAATACTTAGAATAGATCATCACCACAGTCAAGCCCCATCTACCAGCTTCTCACTGTTAGGACAACTCATCTATCAAATGTAGTGATACGCCCATCAAAACGCCTCCAAGCATACAAAGAGAAGATAACAGGGCGCCAAGCCAGCCAAGGACAGCCGCTGTGACGCCTATCTGTACCTCCACAGAGCCATATCGCAATCCTTCGATAATCGTGGCTGCCGAGGCGATGGCGATATGCTGCCACGCCATTCCAATATACAGCATGGCCCCAGCAAGACCATTGATCAGAACAAGCACAGTTGCGTATTGAGAGGAAGGGTAAGACTTGAACTCGTCGGAACCGTCATCGGCGATGTTCCAGCCTGGAAACAGGAGCAAGACTACGAGATTCGACAGCGTAAATACAACACCCAGTATTCTGTAATAAAGGAAGATTAGCGGATTCAGCCTGTAAAGAACTACATGTCGCAGTATGCTGCCTTATTTACGGTCACGTACACAAGAACAGAGGATGTCACATGCTTCTGAAAGTCGAACGCAGCCTCGATAATGCCCAATGGGTCAGCGATATGGGCAGCAGGTTGCCGAAGTCGGCATTGCCAGTCTCCCTGATGGAGCTTCACGCATATAGACCAGTATCCCACCTGCACAGCCTCTGCCCGCATCGGTTCATCCGCATCTTTCAACGTCCATTGATGTAATATATCCGGCAGCGTGTCATTCAGCATGAGCGGGCTAGTGGCATCTATCGGCGCGATGTCTGGTCGATACGATATGGAGAGAAGGTGGAAGTTCTGGAGAGTGCCTGTTCTTGAGCATCCGCCAAGAGTCAGGCCAAGGCCAACGAGGGATATCGCGCTGATTATCATCAGAACATGATGATACCCAAGAATCGGCACCGGATACTCGTCGGCAGGATCGGTGGCTGCGATAGCTCATCCGTCAGCGATATCCTCTCCATTTCGGTCAGCGATCGGGAACTCACAGGCAGTCTCTGCGGTTGATGTCCCAGTGGTAACTGAAAGTGTATCAGCAGGCGTCAGCTCGCCGGAAAATACGCTCTCATCATGGTCTTCTCCCTCAGTATCTTCAGTCTCGGGTTCTGTGCTCTCGGGTTCTGTGCTAGGTGTAGGCGGCCGTCGCCAACGACGCCATGCGGACAGCATTTTCTGGAAAACACCTTTTTTCTGCTGGAGAGGAACTTGTATCGCGAAAGCACACAGATCTAGCGGGCAAACGAGGCATCTTGACGGTGGAACGTTTGGAGGGGAAGAAGCGGTGACATGGCCCGCCTTTGCGTGCGCTGTCGCTCGGGTTGGTCCATTTGGCTTTGGTTGGGCCGCTTGTGCGGGGAGTGAGGCTGCAAGGTGAACAGCGCACAAGATAGCAAACCTGTAAGCACTCCATGCAGCAGGGCTATCAGGCTGCTGGGCTTCTTCCTCCGGGTCTAACCTGTGTCGCTCTGTAGACGTGGGATCAATCTATGTCCTTCCCCAATATGTCGAGCGAGATGACGCCCCTACTGCGATCCACATCCCCAGATGGTTCTGCCGCCGCTGGGCAGCAAGGTAAGGAACTTTTTATCGTTTCTTTTGACCATTTCATTCGAGTAGCTCTGCTGATGATATTCACTTACAGCACGCCGAGGGCCGTGGGCATATCTTCGAGGGCTTCTTCTCATCATATCAAGCACCTCTCTAGGTAGGACTATATCCTGCACCACGATATATCCTTCGGCTTTTGTGTTATACTCACAAGAGAACAGCGATATTACTTTCTGCGTGTACTTCATCCTTTAATATAACCCGTGATCTGCACATACTGTCGCTATCATACGACACTACGTCGAACCACATAGCCAGCAACCACGCGTTAGATGCCATTTTCAGAGATCGTATCTCAGACACTTCGAACATCAAAGAGGTCCGAGTCGGTTATTTCGGTCTATGTGCTGTATCCAGCTCAGACTCTTTCATCTGCAGCCCTCGCCCTCTCGACATAGCCGAGTCTCTCAGATCCTCGGGGCAGACTGATCCTCTCAACTTACTCTGGCTTGGGAATCAGCTCCGGTCTGATGCAGTCTCGTCTACCTTTGTGTAGGCTTCCGCGTGTACCATCCCTGATAAGAATTATGTTCCTGACCCAATTCACACAGATTTCTCAGCGCTGCCATTCTATTCTCAACATGCATCGGTGCACTGATAGCTTCTACCTCTTCCAAATCCGAGGGATCAGCTTCGTCAACCATCTTCTCCATCTTCCTGAACCGCTCGCTATCCTTCACTTGTTTCGCCATATCGATGTTCTTCGCCACCTCTGCTACATTCACAGCCGCCCTCTGGCAGAATCTCGTGGGCACGGCCTCCTCATTCTTGGTAAAGAACCTGGCATTTGGCGCAGTTGTGTGTCATCTTGGTCCTGCAGCGGTGGCGCTCGGCTGGACGAGCTTTTCATTGGCCTGCTGTGCCTTTCTCACCCTTCTCATCCCCCTTGGGGGACGCAGCACTGCTGCTGAGCAATTGTAGCCTGTGCTGGCCCGACAATCTTGGGTGGTGGGTTGCACGGGAAGCAGTGGCACGGAAACTTCAAACTGTCATACACACCTGCCGGCTGACTTGGCCCTTGAAACAAGAGCAATCTGGGATATTGGCCTCTTACCGCCGAGCAGGTTAGGATTAAACCGCAGGTTGGTATTAAACCGCAGGTTGATGGGGTAAGCACACACTCTGGGTTAAGAGAGTGCCTGAACATGAAATGATGCACAGGCAACTTGACATCCTCACCATAACTATCACATATTGTGATTATATTCTACAGCCTGTATTTTCGATTTAGATATTGTGCCACTTGCTGAAGCATGCGTAAGTGGGAAAATGAGCCAAGTTTCCAACCATCTGAATTCAGCACCTACATAAGCTACCGATCATAGTCGTGTTTGTGCTACATACAAGACAGTATTCCCCCAAATCATCACTCTCAATGTTTCTCTATGCCTACCCTGCTCCAGATATTGGCAACTACACCTTGACAAACTGGCATTCCCCATTCTCTTTCACCTCCCACGTCTCCAAGTACAACTTGGTTTAGACGCAGGCTTTGCCAGCCTTTCCAACGCACAGAAGGCCAGAAGCACAAGCCCAAGGTGCGGTGCCGCGCGAAGCACAGGTCACGAACTTGAATTGTCGTCGTTAGCGTTAGTCATCGTCAGCGGATATATCTTTTCCACATACCTTGTCAGCACAGTTGAGGAGGGTAGCGTTCCAGCCAATGCAGGCGAAGAAAGCCCAAGCACGCTGTCCCCATCGGACGAGGAGGGCGCCGATGATGCGGATGATGGCAAGGTAGAAGCGCTTGCTGACGGGGACATTCTCAAGGAACTCGTCAAAGACAGTGTCGTCAAGGTCGATTGGCTTGCCCTCGGCGTCAAAGGCCTCAACTGTGATTCGATGTACGTTAGCAAAGATGGTCTAGCTAAAAGGGGGGTGAGATTTGAAGAAGCATACCTCCGCCATCTTCGGTCTGGATCAGAGTGCCCTCGAAGTTACCGTCGACGGTGAACTCGAGCTTGGTGAGGTTGCCCTCTAGAGGGACAGGGACGATTTCAACCTGTCCGAAGACGGCGGCAGCGTCGATCTCGCGCTTGAGGAGGTCCATGTCCTGCTTGATGGACGCGGCGGAGACGACGGCCGTGACCGCGAGGAGGACGAAAGAGTAGAAGAAACGCATCTTGATGGAGTAATTGGGTAAGAAGGAAGTGTTCAGAAGCTTGAGCTTGATTTTTGGTCTTGAGGGAGGCTTGAATGTGCTTGTTGTGCTGGTTGGGATGAGTTCAAGATCGAAACTTGGGAGGAATCACGGACGCCTTTTATACACGCGAGAGAAGCAAATATCACATATCAAGAATCACAGTCTTGAGCAAATATCGGGAAAGGAGCGGGACAGATTCGCCCGAGCTGACCATTTCGAGTATGCTCGATGCCTCCTCCTCGATGACCATCACGGCTGAACGCAGCATGCATGCTTTAGAGGCATACTCAGGAAGCCACAAGCCACGAATCGACGAATCCGAGAGCGTTATCAGAGCACACTACATCTGCCAAGCTCCCCTCGCGCGTCAAGATATGTACGCTACGGCCTCTCATTACGGATAGCTGCTTGCTCTTGTCGCTATGCAGTTTCATGATGTTCAGGTGCGGTGGCAACGATCCATAGACTGGTGGAGTACACTCTGCAAGGTGGTGAACTTGGGCTATGTTGATCTGATGTTGGCCAAGCATCTCAGATGCTCTGCACGCGAAGAGACTACCGTGAGTGGCCCCATGAGATCGGCACGGCTGAGCAGGGGCGCTTCCTTCTTCCAGAAGCCGTGCCACACCACAACACTTTAATGGATTAAAGCTGAACCAGGCTCCATTTAACCTCAAATCCTCCTGCACATGCCGTCATGTAGAGGCAGCCAACACCCGGCGGGACTTGAGATCAACGTTCCGGCCGGGTCCCCCCTCGAACGGGCGACCAATCCGTGATGGCATTGTATATTTAGTCCAAGACATTTTCATGCTCTGCCTCTATGATGATCGCAATGTAACCGCAGAGGTTGCCAGTTTGAGCTCGCTCCACGTGGAGTCCCGGGCCCTGAATGTCATGACCTGCAGGACTGTAGCTTCGCAACACCTGCCTGGATTGAGAACAACAAAGATGAGTGAAGGCGGGGCTTTCCACTGTTGCCGTTGCGAGATACGTCTAGTTGAGTGTGGGATATTATTGTCTCAGTAATATTGACGCCAGATGCCGCATCTCACCTAAGATGCTCGTTGAGATTGAATCGAACCATCGGACCTACATCTCGTGGGGTGCAACGATTTTCGGCATCATTGGGTGGTGTCTTACCAATGTGGCCATAATCTTACCGTTCCCATCAATATCGTGAAGTGGGAGAAAGACATTGCTCACGTGCTATCTACCCTCATAGCATTGGAACCCGACCCGTCCTTACCCAAGGCACAATCCGGCATGATTTCTGCCCAATGAGGAGCTGATGAGACAGTCGATCCCAAGATTCCCCTCGATTCATCTCTCAGAGGGCGAATCGGATAACTGTGGGCTGAACACGGGTTGCCAAGTCTGTCTAGACTTCTATTGGCATTCAGGTCCCGCGCTGGGGCAGCCGGAATGTTTCAGAATCCTGTACGCCTGCATGAGGCGTATTTCATCTGCGTGATACGGAATTCAGCCTTGGCCTCAGTCTTTCACGCACCTACACCGATCAACAAGAGTAAACTCGCCGTGTTGTGCGATTTCCGAGTACCCCATCGTCACGCCCAATGCTTCCGACTTGAACACTACCCGGGATGGAGTAGATAATCTTGCCAGACTTTCAATAGATAGAACATTTGAATCATTCCCGCTTACTCATGTGTTCATGGTAGTTGGAATCAATTCACGAAATATGGTCGAGTCACACAATGATCCCACTCCGGGTCATCTCTAGTCTATCCGACCCTTCATATCACCAAACATTACCATTCAAGTACCCTCGGAGATAGATTGATGTGTGTTCTTTTCTACGCTTCGGCCTCCATACCTAGAATCTGTTTGATTTAGCCCCTATGGATATGGACCTTTGCCGTAGGGCAAAAAACCTGACACCACATCAACCCAGTACAACAATTGGATTATTATTTGATACATTTATGAAGTTTAGGCAGGTTAGACTTCTTTCTGGTAGTAGACAGCATTACAAAATTTATATTTTGTGATATTATCGCCCTTGGAAACCCCAGTACTGCCACATTCGATCACAAAACAAGACTCACAGGCCAGTTGAACCTACAGAAAAAATATATTGGCTGTGCTCAGCTTTAGAGAAGAATTCGCCTCTAGAGCGTGCTACAGTTCCGCCTATAAGATACAGTGCCATTTTTTATCTGAAAATCACCTACATCATGAGGTGTTTTGTGAGAAAAGAAGCGTCGGAGCCAAAGAGGCGACTCTCCTCCCGCGATCATAATCGCAACTATGGCCAGGGTGTTTAATTATACGTTCCAATTACACAAGGTGCAATTATGTCTACTTCAGCGCGTGGTGGAGCCGGAAAATAGACTATTTTCGTCCACAAATATCATGAGAATCAGAGTTCTTTGAGCCTTAAAACCATTATATCGTG